ATATGCATTAGTTGTGGCGTAATTCAAATTTTAATATGTTAGGATTTGCAATGATCGACAGGTGGTCAGATATTTTTGGAGGGGAGTGTACGTTCTAATTTTAATCGGTCTAATAGATCTGATCCTGCAGACATTTTTACCACAAAAACTCGTTTTACTGGAACACTTATTGCTTCATAAAAAAATGTATTAGTTAATGTTTAATAATCGATGTTTTTTTTTACCTGTAATTGTTCACTCCGTAATGCTTTTTACACTATCAGTAACATCGATAGGTTCACTCATTTATTACAAATTAAAGTTGCATAATGTAAAAAATAAAGCGTTATTAATTGATTATCCGGGTGAGTCAACTCGAGTCAAGCAAAAACGTGACCATGACCTGACGGGTTTTTTTGAATTAGGACTCATGTCATAAAAACGAGTCCCGACTCGAGAAAAATTCGAGTTGAGTCAAACAACCTGGGTCTACGTGACCTTCTCGGAGCACTATCAACTAACACATACTACTTTACCGACAGCCAATACGAAGAACTTGCTGATCTCGTAATATATAATAAGGCAGTGATGGAAATTGACCAGGTCATTAGATAATTTTGAAATGACCTCTGAATGACCATCGAATAACCTAGTCATTTGAGGTCATTTGTCATTTGGTCATTTAAATGTAATACAGGCCAAATTTTATATGCTTGCCAGAATTACAAATTTATATCACGTGAAATATTTATGAAAACGAGCAGCCACAGAAAAAAATGGTAGCCGAATTTATTTGCTGGGTCATATATACTTATTAGGGTGACAAATAATGGTGACAATTAGCATTTTTCTCTCAAAATAATTTCTCTATCCCCATAATACTTAGTAAATTGAAGAACGGCTGGGATGTGACGCTATGTAACAAATTTTCTAACCCCCTTAAACTAATCCTAATTCTACCCTAATTCTAATCCTAATTAATCCTAATCCAAACCCTAACTCTAATACTAACCCTAATAATAAATACCCGGCAAATAAAATCCAGTTACCATCTTTTCTGGGTGATGCTGTGGTTGTTATGAAAACGTTCGAATCATTAAATTACATTAATTATTTTGGCCAGAATTATTGAGATCACATGATATAATTTTTAAATGACCAGGTCATTTGTCATTTAATGTTAAAATGACTCAAATGACACATGACCAGTCATTTGAGGTCATTTGGGTCACTTGCTATCACTGTAATAAGGTGCTCATCACAAAACAGAAATCGAATATTGAATCTTGGATTGATAATTGAAGATAACCTCATCGAAAACGTTCCTTATGATGGGCCGGATGATATCGACAGGTATCTAGGACATGGAGAATTTGATGATGATTCTGGTTATTATTTGTGTGATTAGCGTCAAAGTAGATGATGAGTGTGAGTAGGATTTGGTTTTACATATTTTAATCATGAAATTCTCGTTTTATTTATTTGTAATTTTCTAAAAGAAATACTTTTTTTTTTGTCAAATATATATATATATATATTATCCATATGCTTTAGTTCAACTTTTTACTTTTGTCAATAATTATAAGTTTTTTTTTGTTGTTGTAAAGAAATTTAAGCAATTCCATTTCGATAAGTATTTAACATGATTTTTTAATTTTAAATTTTAATTAATAACGCTTACTTTCAGAAGAATAAAGAAAAATTAAAAAACAAAAATTCCATTACGGAATTTCATCAGTGTAATTTTGACATTACACAGTAGCTCAGTCATTAAAATTTCCAATTTAGGATATTCTTTTTGTAGATGAACTAATTAAACTTGACAATATAAATTACTAGAAAATTTGCATAAAATTATCTTACGAGATATGTATTTTTGTTTCTCTTTTTAAAAGCAATTATACTCATGTATTCGATGCTGGGTATTTACTGTACATACATATGTCACTATGAGCATTAAGTAAAAAGTGGAAAGATAATGGTTATTTGTTATTAAACAACTAACAAGAATTCTAAAACCTGGTAGTTATTTGAAGATAAGAGATGTAGGTTTATTGATTCTTTTTATATGTTATTGTTATCTAGGAATTGACTATTCAATGAAAAAGGAAACGACATAAGGGGATCAGAATTACATTAAATACACGTATTAAGCAGTCACGAACTATACCTTTACACAGTGAATCATTTAATTTTTACAGTGGTTTCTAATTAGTCGTCTGTGCATCTTTTTCATGGAAAACTTATTATATAATATTCCAATATTAATTTAAAAAAAAAATTAGAGAAGGTATCCGCGACTATTCATCAAATTCGCAATATCTTAAGTCTGCAGATTGAGATTATCTTATATAGATATAAGAATGCGTGAAACAATATGATCAGAAATTTTTTGATTTTCCTCTGAGTTTTAAGGTTTATATAGAAATGATTAGCCAAATAAAAAGAAAGAATTTTTTTCATTATTCCCACTATCTTTATCAAAAAAAAATAATTAATTTATATCGATAGCAATATGTCTATGGGTGAACCCTCCCAAACATCTGACCTAAGACGAGATAATGAGTCTAACAAATCTTCAAGTATCGATGTCGAAACTTTGAGTCTAGAAGCTGAATCCTTCATATTCTTTAAATCGAAAAGATCTGATTCAACTGTAAAGTTATCGATAGCTTCATTAAGATAAGTGTAGCATCATTCTTAAAACAAAAAAAGGATAGAATTATAACGTCAGTTAAAAACAGATTAAAAGATTTTAATAAGAAAATGCATCAAACATTTGATAAGAATTTCAAGATTTTGTTTTCAAGGATAAGGAAAGGAAATTGGAAGAAAATTTTTTGGAATATTACGAATGTTTGATTCCCAGTAATTCCGAATTATCAATTCCAAAAATCTCTCTAACGACGGCTAGAATTGATTTACATGAAATTAAAACACAAGAGCCAGAAAAAGCAAAGTATTTAGTCTTAACGAAAATCAAAGAATCTCTATATATTAATAATTCATCATTATTCATTATCACTAGTAAAGGTTTAGAAATTGAAAATAGAGGATGGACAGGAAAAAAATTTAATGAATTTCCTCAATGGATGCAAAATGATTCTATTAAGGATTTAATAGTTGAAAACCCGGTAAAAGGACTCGAAACTTATAGAGTACTAATAAAAAATATTAAAAATACGGATAATGAAGGTAATATTTATAAAAATATTAACTTGAAGGAATTGGAAGAAATAGCTGAGAAAGAAGATGGGTTTAACTACAAAATGTTATTAGCTGGATATTATATAATGGGCACTAATGATTTGAAAACTGCAAATTTGCACCCCGCTGAGGAGATGTATAAAAATGCTACAGAGTGGTATCGTAAAGCTGAAAAGTAAAGATCCGTTGAGGCAAAGTTATGTCTAGGATATATGCATTATATTAGTTTTAGTATATTAGATTATAATCCAGAAAAGGCCAAAAAATTATTTAATGAAGTGATTAAAGCAAATTCAGTATCAGAAAAGACAAACTCAAGTAAAGAAACCACATCGGAAGAATTGGCTAGAATAGCAATGAGAAATATAGCAATATTATATCATAATAGCTATGTTATTAAACCCTTTGAATGGAAAAATATTATCAAGGTAACTAAACTAATTGACGTTACTTTCCCAAATTTAACAAAATTAAAATTAAAATTAGCAAAAAAATGGTATAAAAAATCATGTGAATTAAAGAATAGTCAATCTGCATATAATCTTGGATTACTTTACAAAGATAAGGATGGAATTAAAGCGGAAAAATGGTTTGAAAAAGCAGTTGAATTTGATGGGAATAATTTATATGCGAAAGCTAAATTTGGAAGAATATTAATAGATAAAAAAGATGTTGATGAAGATAAGATGATGAAGGGAATTACAATGTTAAAAGAAGCAGCAAATAGCGGGTTAGCTGTAGGTCAAACATTACTTGGTAAATTTTATGAAAATGAAGGAAATTATAAAGAGGCTGTTAAATTTTATTATGAGGCTGCCAAGCAAATTCGCGGATATTATAGCCATGTTGCACAATATTGTCTAAACAAATTGGATGCTGAAAACCATGTTCATAAAGATGAAAATATTGCAGATATTAAAAAGTTGTATAAAAAAGAATTAAAATATTACTATCATGATAATGAGGCTATTCTTGAAAATGTTAAATAGTTAAATTATCATTATAAATTGTAGCGAGTAAATATGGTATATTATAGTTCAGCCAGATAGGATCATGCTAATTTTATTGTATCAATATTTATTATAATTATTCTATATAAAATATGATTATACAATAACAAGCCAATTAATTTTTAAATATACTACTTCTATCTAACTTTATATGCAAATTAATATTTTCCAATACTCCCGATTCTAATAATTCCTATAATTGTGCGAGTTTCATTTCAATTTCAACTTGATTATTAGATTTTAAATGTATTTGAAGAGTATTAGCTTCTATAGACATAATATTTTGATGGTTGGATTGCTTAAATACTGAAAGAAAATAATGTTTACTAAGAAAATATTTTATATAATTATTTGTTAAGTAACAAAATAATACCTTCTTTTGCAGTTAAAAATGTTCTATTTACTTGTACTTAGGGCATTTAATTGATAAAAAAATCATAATCGATGATTTGGTCGATCTCTTACTTGATCGATTAAAAATCGATTTATTTGATTGATCACATGTGATCGATTTCTTAATCGATTGCATTGTTCGATCAAAGAATAAACTACAAATTGAATTTTAATTGCTCAATCATTAATTGATTTATTAATATTAATATAAGCATCAAAAAATTACAATAAGCTAATTTTTATCAATTACAAATATTATAATAATTACTAAAATCTCTTTAATTTGCCAACATACAATTATACAAAAGGATTATAATATTTACTATTTCGTTTTACAAACAATAATTCATTAATAGTCTCTGGTTTTAAACTGATCTGATCTTTGGTAATTTGATTTCCAGCATCATTAAAAAGCCGCTCACTTGTAACAGATGTGGCTAGTATACTCAAATATTTTCTAGCTATTTTAAATAAAGTTGGAAATTTCTTTTTATTATCAATCCACCATTGAAATGGATCCATTTTGGGTATAGCTTATGGAATTCTAAAATTATCTAAATAGCAATTGATTTCATCATCTTTTTCATATATTTCATATAATTTAAATAAATGCGATTTAAACCCACCCGTTGGATAATTATTTTTTGAATTTATTTGAGGCATAACAGTTTCTTTATTTTTTAATAAATGATATTCTCTTTTAATGAAGATATTGCCATTTCACACACTTCTTCAGGCCATCCATACATTTTTTTAAATCTTGAATCTAAAAGGCTAGCAAATACAGCAATTTCAGGTGATGAATTAAAATATTCAAATAGCATATCATATATTGCTTTTTTGACAGAATTAATAATATTATTAATTTCTGATAAAGATATTTGTGTATTATTTGTTTCTCATCATTATCGTCATCACTTTCTTTATCATCAAGCACACTTTCATTATCTTCAGAATCCTCATCTATAGTAATATTATCATTATCTAAAAAAAAAGAATTTAAATATTAATAAATATAATTTAATTATTTTAATTATTTAAATATTATACTTACCACTTTCGTTAATAATATTATCATCTATATCTGATATATAATTATAATATAATGCATAAATAGATAGATATATTAAAGAAAGTGTACAATATTTTTGACTACCTAACCATTCTGTTGCTTCTTTAATTAGTTTAAAAAAAAACAATTAATTTTTTTAATAAAATCCATTCATAATCTAAAAGAATTCACATTCCTAATTTTTCATAATCTTTTTTAAATTCATTCTCTAGACATAAATTTAAAAGAACCCATTTAATAGGATCTTTTAATACTTGTAATCTTTTCTAAGAAGCTAAAGATAATCCTTATCAGGTCTTGACATTATTAATAATTCACAAAATTTTTAATAGATGTTAAGCAATTGATGTTAAATCAAATAAAATTGAATCATTTTCTAGTTGTATATCATATCTAGATGCAATTTCTTTCTGAGCCTCTTCTAACCGTTTATTTTGTTTTAGAGAATTAAAAAATCAAATTAATTCCTTAAATCATTTAGTATATAGTTTAATTTTTTCTAATCCTTTAATAACACAAAGCTGCAATATATGTGCACTGCATGAAATATGATTAACACCATTCCATTCATAGATAGCTTTAATCATGTTACTACTATTATCAATAATTGCTACATTTACTTTACTATTTAATCCAAGCAGTTGAAGTTTAATTAAAATAGTTTGGCAGATATTATTGCTATTATGAGGATAATTAATTGATATAATACAAATTAATATATCATATAATTTCATATTTTCTGTAAGCCAATGACATGTAATTCTGATATAACCTGATTTTGCGTGAGATATCCAAAGATCTGTAGTTATAGCTGCTGTATTACAGGTATGAATAATCATTTCCTTTATAGTTTGAAATGCAGCTTGATATCTATAACCAATATCTTTTTTGATCGTTACATAACATGGTGGCTTAAATGCAGGATCAAGCTTATTAATCATACGTAAAAATCTTTCCCCATTTGCTGAATTAAAAGATTGAGAATCTGTTACTAACCAATTAGTCAAAGCATTCTTTAATTCATGTTACTTCTTTATGTAGTATAACTTTTTTTATTTGATCATCTACTTTTAATTATTTCTAAAAAGTAAAAATAATATATTAATTTAATATATATCTATCTGTAATAAAAATGTGTAATGATAATGTTATCTTACTAATTTTCTTTTTTAAACTTTTTATGAATAGAATTTAAATGATATTGTTGAGTACTTGTTTGAGTATTATACATGCAACTATAATTACACTTTTCTTCTATTCTATTTTTTAATATTTTATATCTGCATTAAGCAAATCTGTCAATTTTGATTCCAAAATGCTTTCACACCTAACTTGTTTTATTATTTCTAAGTTCAATCCACTGAGATTCTTGCTGATTAATATCTAAAGATAAATTAACAATATTATTTCTTTTAGTTAATTGGGTCAAAATAATATTAGTTTAGCGTTATGTTTTCTATTCTGATCTGACATTTAAAAGGATATTAAAAAAAAATTTGAATTTTTTACATTAAAATTAAATGCTACATTGTGATGATCATCTAATATTTAAAAATTTAAATATTATAAATAAAAATTCCAATACTTTGAAATGCATTTTTATGACGAAAAAACAAATAATACTATAACTATGACTATTTTATTTGAAAAGCTTCAATATTAAAAGACCAGTTGCTATGACTTAAGAATAAAAAAATTTTTTCTTCTTTTACGAATGTCATTGAACTTTAAAAGGAATTTTTTTTCTTTTTTTTTTAATAACGATATTATTTAGTTTTGTTTATTGTTTATTTATACATCATATTATATTATAATAACATAATCGATCAAATATAATAATTGTTAATCAATTATTCATAGAAATTTAATCAATTAAAAATCAATTAAAGTTAGTCCAATTTTGATTGATGGTAATATTCTACGATCGACAAATTAATTGAAACAATCAATCATTGATCTTACTCGATTCAATTAAAAGCCCTACTTGTACTTTATTTATGTCCATTAAGTTTATTAGAGAAATATTATCAGTTACTATATTAAAATATTTTTAATATTAAATAATTGATTAACGTTAAAATAGAAAAAATTTGAAGGACTTACATATTTTTTTTGTAAATTTTACTTGTAAATGAAATCATCATATCTAGTTGCTGCTAATCATGAGAAAGAATATAAGATTGAAGTTCTTGGTCAGATTTATAACAAATTGATATATAATCTGTATTTTGACCATAATGCTGTAATACTTGAATCATAGTTTTCTGCCTACATGATTTGTAATCTTCCTATTATCAAGATTAATCTCTGTTATAACACAAATTCTTTCATAAATTTCTTTAATCATACTTCACTAATATGATAATATTTAAACCAGTTTTTAGTTTGAAAAGCTATATAATAAATAGTTAAACAAAATAAACAATTTTTTAAAATTAATATAGCTTTAATTTACCTGTTTTTTCTTCAACTTCTTGGAAATAAAGATTAGGTTTAGCATTAATAGGTCATAACCAATATACTTATTATAATCATTTATTAATATTGAATTATTAGGAAGGATTAATTTTTCTCCTTTTTTATAATGATTAGTATTAATACTTTGATTAGCTTTTGATCTAAAAATCCAAATATCAAAACCTCTACCAGATCTTTTTTTAAGATCATCTATTATTAAACTTAAATGTTTACCACTACGTAATCTAAGAAAAATTGTATTATAAAAAAAATCTAATATAATAGTCTTCTCAAAGTATTACTATCCATCTTTTGGTGATTTAAAATTTGAATAATTTCATTAACAGTTAGAGTATCAGATCCTTTAAGTTCATTTAAGCCAAGATCAGAAAAATACTTATTTTTCTATTAAAAACTTTTCATAAATTCGAAAAAAAGAGATTCTTGTTAAATATTTATATCTTTAATAGCAGAATTATTAATTAAGTACTGCAATAGCTGCCTGAACAGAATATGCTGAATATTCTTAACCATTTTGTTATTTCATTGTAATAATATATTCTAATAATTGTTGATCTATCTCAGTTTCTGTTATGATTTCATCAATTTTTCTAATAAAACCTATTTTCTTGTGAAACTTTTCTAATGACATTACTCAATTTTTAGTAAAGACTTTAGTGTTTTTACTTCACCAAATTTTTTAAAGAATTCTACATATTCATGAGAGATTGTGATTTTAGATAGCTAAAAAAAGTTATCAAAATATATTAGATATATTAATAAAATAAAAAAAGATAACAAATAAAATGTAAATAATGTTTACCTTAATAGTTTAAGCATATTTATTACTATCTTACAGCATTTCTATAATATTCTTTAAAATAAACAAATTTACTTTTAGAAAAGAAGAGAAAAAAATAAAATAATTTGTAAAACTAGAAGATGTAAATTTATTTATAGTCTAAAAAAAAGCTTATTTAATTTTGAAATACTATAAACTAAATGAAAGTTTATTTGAACACAATAAAAATCTTATTTTTATTAAAAAACTAACTAG